CTGCAGCAATATTTACAATAGCCAAAATATGGAAGCAACCCAAGTGTCTATAGATGAATGGATAACGATTTGGCACACACACACACACACACACACACACACACACACACACACACACTGGAATATTACTCAGCCATAAAAAAAGAATAAAATCTTGCCATTTGCAACAACATGAATGGATCCAGAGACTATAAAGCTAAGTAAGTCAGAGAAAGATAAAAACTGTCCAACTTCACTATGTGAATTTAAGAAATAATTCAATTCTATCTTTTATCCAAATAGTTATCTACTGTCACAATGCCATTTATTAAAGAATCTATCTTTTCCCCAGTGATATCTTATGCCATACTTGGTACACATTATCCAAATATACTTCAGTCCATTTCTGGATCTTTTACTTTATTCCCCTTGTCTATTCATGCTTCTGGCTCTACAATGTTACAATTACAAAGGACCTAGATTATGTTAGCAAAACCTCCTTCACTGCCTGTCGTTTTCAAGATTTCCAGCTTTTTAACTGTTAATTTTTTTTGTAAATTCAGCCTCCCCCCCACCCTTTTTTTTTTTTTTTTTTTTTTTTTTTTTTTGAGAGAGAGAGAATGAAAATGAGCAAGGGGAAGAAAGAATCCCACGAGGGGCAGGAGGAGGAAAGAGGGGGAGAGAGACAGAGAGAAGCAGGGCTCACCGGAAGCAGGGCTGGAGCTCAACAGATGAGGTGCACTAGCTCACCAATGCGGAGCATGAGCTCACCGATCACCAGAAGTGGGCCTCAAGTTCAACCGATGGGGAACTCGCTAACCATAAGATAATGATCTGAGCCAGTCAGATACTTAACTGGCTGAGCCACCTAGGCCCCCTTGTGAATTCAGCTTTAATCTCCAGCATGAAACCTTGTTTGTTTGGGGAATTATGTTAAAGTTTTATATCAAATTGGAAAGAATTTATATCTTTATGACATTTGACCAAGTCTATTTTGTGATTTTCTGTAGTATAAAGTTTTCTTCTTATAGCTATTCACATTTTAGTTCTAAGTATTTTATTTTTTAAAAAAATATGTTGAGTTTTCCTTATTGTCATAACCTGTTTTTTAAACAAATGAAGGCTATCAACTTTGTGTATTAATTTAAAATCCTGATCCATATTCGGTAATTTATTATTGACTGCTGAGTTTTTTAGATGACTTCTTCTGCAAATAGTTTCACTTCATTTTAAATTTACATAACTCTCATTATTTTCTCATTGATTTCATCGGCTAATACCAGCAATACAAAGTTAACATACTTGCTTTGCTTCTGAACTTAAGAAACTGTTTTCATTGTTTTACATATTAAGGAAGATACCTGTTTTAGGTCTAAGATACATCAATTCTTATTTTAGTGATTTTTTTTTTTAATTAGAAATGGGTGTTGGATGTTGTAAAAGATCTTTTCAAGTTAAAAGCTTAGGGGAGAGGGGTGCCTGGGTGGCTCAGTTGGTTAAGCATCCAACTTCCTCTCGGGTCGAGGTTCCTGGGCTTGAGCCCCACGACCGGCTCTGTGCTGACAGCTCCGAGCCTGGAGCCTGCTTTAGATTCTGTCTCCCTCTCTCTCTACCACTCCCCTGCTCGCACTCTGTCTCTGTCTCTGATCAATAAATAAATGTTAAAAAAATTTTAATAAAATTAAGGGAGAAATGTTATGGTTTTGTCCTTAGATCTATTTATGTGATTAACTGTGCTAACTGAATTCCACATATTGAGGCATATTTATTTTTAGATAAATTCAACCTGATAAGGTTTTAATACACTGTTGGTTTCTGCTAATAGTTAAATTTTCACATCAATATTCATTACAGAGATTTGTCTACAGTTCTTGTACATTTTCCTTCAAGTTTTGGTCCAAATGTTATACTTGTTCCATTTATATAACTTGAAGCTTTCCCTCTTTTGGACAGAATTCTTCTGTGAAACTTTCTATGCCTGATCTGATTTTGTGAGATAGTTACATTTCTTCATTTCTTCTAATAAAATTTGTTTAATGCTTTTTATCATAACTTCTGCCAATTTTGATAAATGTGTTTTCCTAGGAGTCTATTAATCAAACCTTATATTTTTGTTCTATTATTATTTATTTTGCATAGAATTTTGAAAATCATCTACTGCTAAAATTTTCTCTTTCACAATTATTTCTCCTGGTCACTTCTTGCATTTTTCTTCATTTTTTCACTTTTTTGATTTATGGTGAGTGGCTTGACTATTATAGGGTTTTTTTATTGCACTTCATTTATTTACTTATTCACTTAGTTTTCATCTCTCTTTTCAGTCTTATTAATTTTGACATTTGCTTTTTTTTTAAATTTGAGAGAGAGTGAGAGCAGGCAAGCTAGAAGAGGGGCAGAGAGAGAGAGGGAGTGAGAGAATTCCAAGCAGGCTCCACGCTGTCAGCATTGAGCCCAATGCAGAGCTCTATCCCATAAACCATGAGATCATGACCTGGGCCAAAATCAAGAGTTGGACACTTACCCAACTGAGTCCCCCAGGTGCCCCAATTTTGATATTTACTTTGATTTATTCCCTTCTGCTTTGTTTTGGTTTACTTTGTTTTTTGGGTATTTTTTTTTCTTCT